CCTTATCGTACGATTTAACAAAATTCTAATTCTACAAAAAAAAGTAAAGTTTAAACATTATTTTTTTTATGATTCATTTCAAGATAGGATTTTAATACTGGTGGTTAAAAATTCATTCTCCTAAAGGTCTAGATCCGCCACTGGTTGTAAATGAAACGAAAAATAATTTAATGAAATAAAGTTCAAAAAATATATACATGAGTCTGGCATATAGATATAATACAAATATATACAAAAGATACTAAGGAAAATACAAATATATACAAACATTACGAAGAGAAAACAAAATAAAATGCCTCTTATTAATTAACTGTTAATGAGCAACTTTAATTACATAATATAAAAATTCTTAGAAGCTTGCAGAAGTTTGTATGTGTAGTAGGTGGTGGAATAGGAGTTGTTTGAAAGAATTTGTAGACGTGGTTTGACATATGGAGATAGGTAAGGAGTTCCAAAAGGAAGTAGCACGAATGACGAAGGATTTGCTGAAGAAAGTGGTTTAATGGGAGAAGATATATAGATCTATATATGTTATCTATTTTATCGTTTTTTGTGTTGTGAAGGAAATAGAAATTTGATTTTCTTCAAGATAAATCATTGCACATATATCCCAAAGCAAGAACCGAAATTGAAGCCGCTGAACGTATAAAATACCATGAATCAAATATACCTTCTTGGAAATAGAATTGCAACAAACAATGGTAATAAATATTACCTGGAGACTTAAAACTGAAGAAAGCTGTAAATCATGCAATCCTTAGTTTGAAGAGAACTTCCTGCAGTTTACTAACCGTGAAAAATAAATATATTAAGTAATTAGTAATATTAATAGTAATTAAGTTATATCAAGCAAAGATTAGGTGGACTTTTCATACACTGGGAGGAAAATAGACCAAACCTATGGAACAGAGGAATTACTATTGTCAGTGTTAACAACTGATCCCGTCATTTCATCATAATATTTATTACCTCTTATTACCAGAGACTAATAGTTCTACTATAAAAAAAAAACAACTAAAAAATGAATTCACCGTCAAAGTTGGCTACTCGTATTTACGTTTTAAATCTCATGAAATATTATATTTTCAATATTATTTTTTATTTAACATTAAAATATAACAATAAATAAAATTCAAATTTAATCGGGTGTGTAACATTCCTTTTGTGGAAGACGGCCCCGGAATAGATATTCCTCTTTTAATTCCAAACTCCGAACTAACCTTTCATCCGATACAATTCCTGACAACCGTCTGAGATGTCTGAAAAGATGGTCAAGGGATCTCCTAAATTAATTTATCTTTAAAGTGTTACCAATGGGTAGCTTTCATGTTATATATTCCTATAGCAGATTTACTAGTTGTATATATGTTTACAGTTGTAAATTTCAATAAACAAATCTGATGTTAATTTTTTTCTGGTGGAAAACGATTATTAAAAAAAAAATCGTAGTTACTAATGTTTAAAAAAGATTCTGCTAATAGAACCGATATTTTTAACAATTTATAAAACTTGAAATCAAGAAATTGATTGTTTTATTTTTATCGATTGGAATGCTGTAGCTAACATTCCAATATAAGTTACAAGATAAGAACAATCTTATGAGGATGAGACCTCTGACCTCAAACCTGACGTTCAACATAAATATTGCACTATTATCTGCAGCAGATAGCCTACATACACAATTGAAAACCCAAGGTTACAGAAGAAAAAAACTTGAAGACTTATTCATTTCGATAAGCTATCCAAGAACGTTCGTTGTTGTTTCTTATTTGCTTTAATTCTTCTATACACTAAAAATAAGGCAGAAGGAGGAGGCTATTTTGTAGATCACCCATCTATTTTAGCTGCAATCAGTAGATCAAGATGTAATAAAAAATAACATGAACTAAATGGAATCGAACAAATATGGAATAAAGCGAATTTTATTACTTCAAAGAGATATGAAAAATGCGTTGTGTGTGTACACAGGTTCTAAACGGTATAAAATTAGTCTCATAGTGCCAGAATAAAATTATAATCTTAATATATAATACTAGTATGCTTGTGTTTTATTTGTTATTTTGATTAGTTTAGTTATTTTGTTTAAATAGATTTACTTAATTAAAGAAATAAATCAAGACTTCTTTATTTTTCTTACTAGTTACAGCACATCTGCTTATTATCAAGCTTATGACAGGTGTGGATGAAAATATGAAGGAAAAAAAACTTTTAGTATTTTAATTTTTCTACATTATTTATTGTAAATAGAGTGTGAATGTGCTCTCTGAACACTATTATAAATGTTCTTAATTGTGACAGATTGTAATAATTCTGAATAAATATGTTATATATATAAAACATATATATATAATACTAGGGGAGTATCTCCGTCCATCTAACAGCAGACCGACCCCCATTTTACAAATTATACCACTGTTCATTCAATTGTACGACTCGTTGCTCAAATTGTTTAACTGTAATTTACATGTATTCTTATTACATGTACATTTGTTATCAACATAAAATAAACAGAACGAAACAACAGTTCGGGCTATTTTTTTTTTTTTTTTTAAATCTATACTATACATTGAGCCTGATTGCCAATTAATATTATCATATACTTATAATTATTCTTATTGATAATTTCTAACCATAAGAAGGAAAAACTAATTCTGGAAATAAGAATGTGGTGTCTTCGTTACGGTCTATTCCACTTTGTATATATAAAATAAAATATGACAGCCACTGAAAACTTGTTTATATAATAGAGAGAAATAAACAACATTGGCTGACCATTTTAATGATATGGAGAAATAGCTAAACTCATTTTTGGAATTGAGTGCTCTCATTTATTCATCGATTGAATCGCCGATGCTTCACCGATGGAAGAGTTTGTAACCTCAATCGCTTTTCATTTCTCAATTTGCTTTGTATATTTGTGTGTTTATATTTAATTTTACTTTCTTCTGTCTATATTTATATACATTTTAAAATTCAGTTGATTTCGTTTTATATACTTTGGTATTTCCATGTGTTTTGTAACCTTGTAGAAAGTGTTAACATTCCGCTGGAACCCAGTAGATCATTCCGCAACTCACTATAAATGACTGTCCATCAATGTTGGATCCAATCGATTGATGTATTCTATCGATGGAATCAGTGTTGAGTTTATGAACTGCTCTATTAATGTTAAACGAACTTACCCCACCTCGTTTTATATTCGAATATAGATAATAAGTATAGGTTCCACTATAGACAGGTTAATAATCAGGCACATGAATTCCATGAGAAATGTTTGGTCGGCAAATGAAGAGATAATTTTATCGAGGATTTGTGACAAGGGACCATTGAAAGCTTCGCGGAAGATAGAGATAAAATTAAACGAGGAAGGTTTCGTCCATCTCAAATAAATATAATACCCACGCCCTCGCAATAATAACGTTGAAAGTTCTACGCTGTTTTCGCTACACAATGAAAGAATCGGATTATTCCAGAACGACCATTCATAAATAATAGTGTAACAACGGAGATCCAATACTTTGCTTTCTTTCTTGTGAATTATTTACTAGGGCCGAGGGGGGAGGGGAGGAGGATTTGAATTCAAAACGAGGCAGAGGCAAAGAGAAACCCCCTGGCCCTTTGGTGAAAGAAGCCCGCGATATACCGGAAAGCTTAGCACAGCATCAAATGGGCTTCCTTTGAGGACGTCACTGTGTATCAACAGGGGGACAATATTCAACAGACCGAAATATCAAAAAATATGGACTCTTCTTTTATATCGTAAAGAGAAAAAAAAAGTAAAAAAAAAAACTCAAACATTTTTATTTTATGTCTCTAGTCCTAATATGTTTACGGGGGTCAGTTTGTGCGATATCATGTAGTTTATGTGATCCTAAATACCAAATAATTTTCGTGCGGATGGGGAGTCATGTTGAAGCCATCACCTTTTTTTGTAATAAAAAAAAATAACCAAAGGGAAAATTTAAAGCAAAAAATATTTATTGCTACGAAAATTCCTATTTGAGGCTTCTTCGAGGTAAGAAATACGAATCTCAACTTAATTTTTCCTTAAAAAAATATTTTAATGCAGTTTGCTTATTCGTTTTAACAGTTTACTGATACTGTAGTATGTAAAATGTAAAAAAAAAAAGTTTATAATAGAGCTCTCTTAAAGAATATAAACGAAAAATAATTGCAAAAACGATAACTTTTGTAGAATTAATTAATCTTTCAAATAACCATGAAAGCAATCAACATTAAAATGTATATATTTTTAGTAATTTGCAAATGAATTTTTTTTTTCTTCAAAACCTTTTCTTGAAATTTTTAGATGTGACTATTTTCCCCACCTGAACGAGAGGAAAATCTCCAAAATGAGGTCTCGATCATTGAAGAATTAACGAAGATATTCCTAATAAAAAAAAATACCTTTAAGAAATTATATATAAATTTTATATAAACTTTTTCCATTGACAAATGATAATAAATTTATACTCCTTTTATGATAACCAATTCATAAATATTTATTTTTTCTATATATCATTAAACAACTTTCTTTAGGTTATTCAAATTCTATGTGAGATTTTTTAATAATTATCACATTTAATCTATATATAATTATTTTTTTATAAACCCATTTTTAATCTCACAGTCCTTTATTACAATTTCAACCCATTATTACAATATTTAATAAATTATTATTTTTTAACATTTCGGTTCCAAACTCCACTTTCAAAAATTCTTTTTCTTTTCTTAAAAAAAAAACATTAAAAAAATATTATTACAAACATTTTCTTTAAAATATAAACACAATGTAAACACAATAATACTCTATGGTTGTGCTTGTTGTTTTAACACAGTTACAATTTTTTTTTTTTTTTTTTATTTTTCTTCCGAAAATCCACAAAAAAACTTGATCCTTAATTTCTTTTCTCTTTATCATCCTCATTCTATCTTTACTGAGCTGTAGTTTAGACTGACTCCCTATTTTTCTATGTATGTTATTTTCCTTAGCTTAGCCTTTACTGCCTAACAATACCATTGAAGCCGTTGAGGGAGAAGTGTTGGGATCTCCTAGAGTCCATATTTTCCCCCACAGGTCGAAAAGGAAAGGCCTGACTCTCAGAGTTTCCCTGGATGATGGTAAATATTTTAAATACATATTCCTGTTGTTTTTATTTTGATTAATTTAATTAGAAGCGTCCTTTTTTAAAATATTATTATTTCGCTGCACCATTATTATTCCATTTAATTTATTTTTATTTTCTGTAAATGTGGTGCGAATGAACTGTTATATCATTAGTATTAATGAACTTAGTCGAGACAGAACGCAATATAAATCTGCAAATAAATTACTAAAAAAGAAAAAGCAATTACACATCTAAAATTTCAATTTACTAGAAACCCTTCTTTCAATGGTTAATCTCATTCAATTCAATACATCGAGTTTCATCTTCTCACAATCAGTGAGAAGTATTTTATTTTATTTTTTGTGCTAAATCAGATTTATTTGAATGATAACGATACAATCTGCCAGAAACAAGGTCATTTAGTATTAAGGCTCTATGCTTACATTCATTCTTTATATACAAATTAATATGCAAGCTAAGAAGGATATAAAATAAGAAGAAAATAAAAATATATACATTAAAAGAAAAAAAAAATACTTGCCACACATTCACTCCTATATGTCAGAAGCATTATAGTATGCTTAACTTTATTTTAGATTAGTTTTTTGTTTCTTATTTTTACTGATGATTAGCTACATTTATTCTGCATACATATAATCTTAAAACGCTCACTATTTAGATGAACGTTCGCTGGTACATGAGAGATATAAAGATTGGTTTTTAGAATATTCTAATAATATCCTAACCATAATTATTTTCTCTCTTGAGATTTTTGGCTTCCTTTAATTTATTTGTGAGTTATTAAGGAAGAAATAAATTATCGAAGAGCTCTCTATATCAAAGCAGAAAAGAGATAAAATCATTATAATTATTTAAAATTAAAAGTTTTTTTTTTAAGATCCAAAAAGAAGAGGCATTTAAAAGAAAAAGAGAATCAACTTTAAAGCGAGTTGTCGCCAATAATTTTTCAATCTCTAAATCGAGACCAATCAGAAGAAAATTAGTTATAATCTGAGGAGAGAAAAACAGTTGGGAAAGACTTATTGACATCTTATCCCGAGCCCTCATCAATTTTACTAAGGCTTCTCCAATCTCTTTCTTCTTATCGCTTCATTTTCTCATAAGGAAAATTCCTGAAAAGAAGTATTGATTCCTCAGTTTTTAATTAGTATAAAAATTTTGCACGTGTAGGTTGTGTCGTACGTATAGGAATTATTTCTTCCAAATATTTGTATATTTATTTAAAATTCATAATTAGTCTGTGCTATGAAAAGGAAAATTACAGAAAAATTATCATATCATAAATAAAAATTTGTTCATAAAAGTTATAATAGTTTATGTAACCGTAAATATGACAACGTTAATAAGAGTCGGTAAAGAACTAGGGCTCGAAATAAACACAGATAAGACAAAATATATGGTTAGCTGCAAAAATGGCGATGTAACTGGTGATATCGATATAGAAGGTGATATGTTTGAACATGTAGAGAAGTTTAGGCATGTAGGGTCTACGATAACTAGAAAAAACGATTTTTTTTTTTTTATACAAAACAATACACCAGACATTTTTATAGGACTTAGAAATTAGAGCTTAAACATGTCAAGAATGATCAGGGGTGCCCCAAAGGGGGTTTCATCAAAGCAAGTTGCGCCATCAAAATGTTTGAGGAGAGCATATTTTGACGGGTTTTTGAATTTTTGAGGGAGTAAATTTCGACGGGGTGAATTTTCAAACACGGAGGAAAACATGGAACATACCGCAGCAAGTGTAATTGATCTACGATTTTCCTAATTCTATCTCGGCTTGCTCTGATTTTAAGAAAAGTGAGCAATAAAATATCTTGGGAGGGAGGAAGGGATAAGTTCTTGCGTCATCGGGCACTCCTTAGAACCAGAGAATTCAGAGTTTTATATCATTTTTTTAATTATATATCTCCACTGGTTTTAGCACTAGTGACGGGTAGAGTAGCATAGGGATCTCCTGAAGTCCTGATTTTCGCTCTATGGTTGTAGAGGCCATAGAGGGAACTCCAAGCCTGATTTGGAGTTCCCTCGCCTGATTGTAATTGTATATTTTCGGAAGAAAAATAAAATAAAACAAAGCATTTTATATGTAATAAAACAACAAGTACAACGATAAAGTAGTATTGTATAAACGGATATATTTTAAGAAAAATGTTTAAAATAATGATTTTAATGCTTTTTTTTAAAAAAAGAAAAATAATTTTTGAAAGTGGAGTTTGGAACCGAAACGTTAAAAAATAATAATTTATTAAATATTGTAATAATGGTTTAAAATTGTAATAAAGGACTGTGAGATTAAAGATGGGTTTATAAAAAAATAATTATATATAGATTAAATATAATAATTATTAAAGAATCTCACATTGAATTTGAATAACCTAAACAAAGTTGTTTAATCATATAAGGTATATCTGTGTGTATTTTTTTAAAGTTACTTATCTTTAAATTATTTTATTTTTATTTATTGAACTTACTTTTTGATTATCATTTAGTTATTCTTTGGCTGCCGTTTATTTTCTGTTTTCTGTACACATGGTGTGAATGCGTACAGAAAATAGAAAACTTAACTATAATTATTCTCCGTGTAAGAGAATGTTACATTATTGAATAAATAAATGGACATAACATAACACGGTTGATTATATAAAAAAATGTGAGTCGACAAAACATATTGTTTTCTTATTTTCTAAACATCGAGTGGGAGTATACAAGGAGTTGAGCATGGACACCCTGATGACTGGAGAAGACTATCTCTTGATTCCAGCAACTGATTTATATCTGGATATGGTCGTTACTGGAGGACTTATCTCATATAGCTTTTATCGAATCTTCGCGAGCGATCGTAAAAGTTGCTATTCTAAAGTAATATCACAACTGATTCCACGAGATATTTTTTATTTTAGAAATTATTCTATAACATAAATCAGTCATACAAATTAGATCAATACTTGAATGTTCCAGGAAATCTAGCTATAATTATCAGTAGCACAATCTCAATTAGTAATAAGAAAAGACATTGAGCTCCTGGGCCCTTTAATTACGTGATTAATGGATGGATGGAGAAAGAGCTATTGTTAATATAATGTTATTATTGCGATGACAATGTTGAATCCATGATCACTTACTATAATCATTTTAGATCTGCCTGATCAAACCTCGAGCTGATCAAGCGGTATCCAAAAAAATGTTCAATGCTGTGACGAAGCATATTATCTGGGAGTTGCTGGTTCTAAATTTAGTCGACCAAATTGAAACAGTTTGATAAAGGCGAGGGTATCGTAACAAATAGTTTTATATGAACTTAAACAAGCAGTTAACAAACCCAGCAGCAAGTCAAGTCATGTTAGCTTCTCACTGAGGAAGATTTTGTGTCCTGCTATGACAATAGATAACAAGCCAGTACCCTCAAAAACTCATAAACGGTATCTCGGACTATAATTGGACAAAAAACACACCTGAAACATACGATACAAAATTAATAAAACAAGAGCTGACCAGACGATACAAATAACTGTCACATCTTTAGGAGTACATAGTTCCATTCAACTTACAAAACAAGCGACTAATCTACACCACCATACTAAGAACTATTTGGAAATACGGAGCAGAACCTTGGATATCCGCAAAATACACTAGACAAACAAAATTCAAACCACACAATCCAAAATACTTCGTGAAATCTTCAAAGCTCCTTTGTTTATTTCAAGTCACACCTTACACAAAGACATGCACACACTGAAAGTAAAATCCTACATACACAACATCTCATTCTTCTATTCTCAATCATCCGAACCCACTTTTTCTGTCTCTTTCTTCCTCCCTGTTACCTGGTAGAACCTCAACGACGATTAAAAACGGCAGTGGCCTAGAGATCTCCTGATGAAAATGTAAACAACTATCAAGAATAAAAGAAGACGAAATAAACGGGGAAACATTTGCCTGATGTGTAACAACACAGTAGCAAATATAATATAAAAAAAAAAAAAAACTCAAGACCGGTCAGAACGTCAGAAATGGTCCACTTCAACATATTTCAAAAGGTTAGGTATACCCGGAAGTATGTATATACATATAGGAGGTATATTTGTTTCCTCATAAAGGTATTTAATGGAATGCAGCACGGTTACAGCCCAATCAATGCAGAACGGTTACAGGCCAATCAAAATTTTCATAAACAGAGCCAATAAGGGATACTATAAAGTTATATTTGGTATATAACACTAAAAAGTCCAATTAGATAAAAAAATAAAAGTAGAATAAATCATGCATATTTATCTTTTAAATAAATATTTTCTTATTATAGGATCCGTGTTATTATTTGGGATGTAAGGCGGGAAAAGAATAGAATATGGCTTTTTTTTTCAAACTGTGGTTCTTAAAGAATTTCTGAGGAGGGAGAACTTCAAAGAATTAAGGAATTATCTAGTTCGTTTTCGAGTATATACATATATATGAGGTATAGGTGAGGTTACTGTTTGATTCTAGATTTATAGAAGTGGTGCAATCAGATGCGTTTAATCTGTTTCAATGTTTAATGACGATATTCCCCATTCCTTCGTAATTAAAATTGGCATTTATTCTTCCTAAGGGGCCAGTGTGTTTTTTCCTGTATAGAAGAGTATAAAAATCTATCACAGAGGCCTTGATTTGCAGAGAGTCTACACTGGTGAATTTGGTGGTGAAATGAGATCAAATATCTTGCTTGGGACTTGCTCTCAACCGTTTCTGTATATTTGGAATTACCACACCCAAACCTGCGATGTCATTTGAAGCGAGCGGCTTTTTAAGGATAATTGCATATTTTACACATCTACTATCGATGTCCTAATGTTGCAATTACCACTCTTGTAAATGGCTAAATTGATGATTTCCTTAAAATCGTACTTAGACTTTTGTATCAGTAACGTCGAAGTATTTCGATATCCTGATCATAAAAATATAGATATTTTAATTTTGTTTGCCAGTGTTTGTATTGCTATTGTCATTTGG